GGGGGTGTTTCGACTGCTGTCAGAGAAACCAGTTTTCTTTCCATGCTTTGGCCAGTAACTGCAGCGAATCACTGTTTGGCTCTGTAGACACTAAGTGACTCCATTCTGCAGCTATTCCTTTAAGCTTGACTCATGTGTCCAGACTTCTGCAGGTGGTGAGCACATCTAATTCTGTATTTAACCAAGCTAAGCAAACTAGCAGTTGCAGGGAACATCACCATATGGCAGAAGAAACTGGGATTTACAGTAGAGCACAGCTAATCAAGATGATCTGTGCAGTTTTTCCCCCTTTTTACCACAAAAAGAAAAGTGGGAAGATTATGAGGTAGAACTTCCACTTGCCAAAAACAAAAACCCAAACTGCCCTTTTAGGTAGGTCACAAAGTTTCATCAGTGCTGTGCAAATCAGTGTTTTTGTGTGTATGTGTGTGTGTGTGTGTGTGTGGGGGGTACAAATAAAAAGATAAAGTAAAATTTCAATTACTTTTCAAGTGTTTGTTCAGTACACCCCCTCTAAGATAACTTATGTAACCTCCCAAAAAGCTTTCGGAGAAGTTCAAAACGGAGGCTATTCTAGTTCAGCCTGCGATATGTCGATAGCGCAATACACTGAACAGCCCAAACTAACTGAATCGTTATGCAACCCTTTGCTGTCTGTCCACATGTGGTCTTGCACTGTGAACTGCTCTGTAGCGAGCATACAGATTAAATGGCATGGCAATACACGTAGCATGTGCAACAATCCCCGTAATCTCCTACCTTTGAAACACATTCGCTTCTGCAATCAGTTCAGGGCTCTTTTATTTCCCCCCTTCGACGTCCACTTTAAGTTCACACCTCTCCGCTGCTCTACTCCATTCGCTTTATTCTGGGCAGCGCTCGTCTCTCGCTTCTCCCCATTAAACTGCAAGGCACAAACAATTGCGATCACTTAAGAGCATTCCTCGGGATGACAACATCTAATCATAACTCACATGCTTTAACACTTGCTCCTCCGGTTCAGCACTTGAAATTCCTCAAATCATCGCTTTCGTTTCGTGTAAAGATCTGCCAGAGCTGACAGAAGAAAAATACTCCCGACTGTTGTAGCCGAGAGACGCCAGGAGAAATGCAATTACACGGAGACTGCTGCATATTGCAAAACCTGCAGACATGCTCTTGTTTGCAGACCCCTGCTATTGTGCTCCGGGATCTGTCTGGGTAGTTGTGAGCCTGTGGTCCTGATGCGAGTTTTTCCACGTCCCTTTGTTGTTTCTGTCACACCTACAAGGAGGGAACACACGGAGGAGGGGAACCTTGCCCCTACTTTCTTTTGTCTGACTGTTTTTACCCAGCAGAATCATGGCTGAACTACTCTATTTCTTTTTTTATTTTATTTATATTTTATTTATTTTATTTTGTTTGTTTCTTAAAATATTACACTTTACGTCGCAGACGTACGAGCGTCTCTGGTATACATTTCATCCTCGTGGCATCAGCCCCGTTTCGATCTTTTCTGTCTTGATTTATATTTCTTCCATTTTTATTTATTTGTAATCCGCCTATAACTAAACAGCATATCCCTAAATAAAAGTGCATTTGCCCTTTGTTCTATCTCACCCGCACTTGTATCTTTTAGTCCCCCGTCTCACCGAATCCCTTGCCAGAAGTTTGGTCCTTGCTGGGGAGTAGACTGTCGCCGCTGTCTCTCTCTCTCTCTCTCTCTTCTCCTCCCATTTCCTTCCCGCGTTGTCTTTCCCAGGCGGTGGCAGAACCCAGTTGTGCTTCACTCCAAACCATCCTGCATGGACAGCACGCCAGCGCTTATCAACGAGCACAGTGATGACTGCATCACTGCTTGTCACAAGCGCCACACCCATCCATTCATAAAGCAAAGCGAGTGCCAGCCTCCAGACCAGACTGCTCTCTGGGTGAGGAGGTAGTAAAACAACCACAGTGCTCCTTGAGGGGAAAATGGCTATAATATTCGTTTAGAAAGTCATGCCTTATATCTCTGTGTCTAAGGTGCTGAATTATGAATTTGTAGCCATTTAAATAAAATAGATCTCACCGTGTGAGTATGAAGTGATGAGTGTTTTACCATAGTAAACGTGATGGTTGGGGAAAAAACGTCAGCACTACGCAAGCATCGTGATCTTCATAGTGACTATAGGATGTGTGAGTTTACGTCTTTTGCTTAGTACTGTTTATGTATTCTAGTATAATTAAAATTGTAACACCTAAATAAATAAATAAAAAATCATTTTAAACACTAATAATCTGACACGTAAGATGCAGAGTCACAAACTTAAAACTTAAGTGTGTATCCGGGATCAAAATGAAGGTCAAATTCAAAGTTGGGTGTTTTGTTTGATTCATGAACATAGAGCGAAGGGCACTAAAGAGTTCAAGGTTGCTTTCAACTTTACACCATATAACACAGTCTTTCAACATTTTAATGTATTTGTAACTCCTCATAGATTATCCTTGACAGCTTTATAAAATATTTTCTATAATGGGTGTTGCAGTTGGATTTATCCCACCCCCTCTTGCCACTTATTGAAATATTTTGTCAGAATGATAGATAGATAGATAGATAGATAGATAGATAGATAGATAGATAGATAGATAGATAGGTAGTAGGGGTGCAAGGATACTCGTATCGATATTGAACAGTTCGATACAGTGCTTTCGGTTCGGTACGCATATGTATTGAACAATACAAAATTTGTAATTTATTTTATCAACTTTCCTTCTGACGATGCTGTCTGTGTTGAGCGCTCAGTGAATCTGCGTTCGACTACTCCGCCTAGGCTGCACTGTCGAGCGCAGATCTACTGAGCGCTCAACACAGACAGCATTGTCAGAAGGAAGAGCGCAGGGCAAGCTAGCGAGACAGAAGTTAAGCTCTGCTTGCAACATGGAAAATTGAACCTCCCCCACCCTCATTCAGATCTGGCGTTTGGAATTATTTTGGTTTTCATGTGACATATGACCCTGAAGGTAAACGTCATGGACTAAAGTAAAA